GGGCTCACCTGCCGCTACCTTCAAGTCGATGTCGAACTGCTCGAACCACGGCCGTAGTCGCTGTGCACGCTGGCCTTGAAGCTCTTGTTCACTGCAACGTTTAGCGGTTGAATGAGAGGCGTGCAACCATTGGGGATGACCGCGCGAATAAGCTTGCACAGCTTCATCGTCTGCCCAACTACTTGAATAAGGTGGCCCTTGTACGAGTCTAGGATGACAAGCACATCCTTGTGCTTGTTCCCCGCTTCACGCAGCGGGCGCAAGAATGAGTTCAAGACTTGAGTAGTCCAGTCTTGGACAAGTTTCTCTTCCATCCAGCCCTTTGGCTGGGCTCGGATGATGACACTTGAAGCCACAACAACAGTCACAAGGTGTGCATCGGTGTAAACTACATGCACAGAGCGACGAGCAAATGCATTCTTACCCGGGGGAACCCGAATCTTCGACATCGTCTTTCACTTGAACATGGCGCACAGCGGGAGCTTCAATCTCGAAGCGGCGACGGCCAACATGACGGTGAGCCACTCCTTTTCGTAGTCGGCCATCCTCGCATGCACCGTACGGGAGCCTTTATGCACCAACGTCCTCTCCTAAGGCATTTCTATGAAGAGGGGGGTTTGGTCGGTGTTGACGATCTGGTCGAGATTGTACCGGTTGAGAATCCGTATCTGCTTGAAAAACTCCAAGAATTTCTCGATATTCGACCTCATGTGTGCGAAGAAAACAAAACAGTTGGAGAACAAATTCAGGGGGGAACAAACGAGAAGCAAGACAAGCAAAAGACTCAAAGAATGATGGTCAAGGTAAGGGATTGAATGACAAGGATGGGATGACAGCTTACCATCGGCAAGCTTTTGCCCCATCTTCATCTTCACCCAACGCGAAAGGCCCCAACGCGTGCGGAATCTGAACGTCCAGTGACTCGACGCCCTTCAGTCGACGTCTGGATGGTGTACGCGCATGTACAAGTGACTCCACTTCTGCAGGAGCTTATCGGAGTCGGCAAGCTCCCTCCCACAGTGCCTAAGGAACTGGCCAAGGGCCCTTCCGAGTCAGAGGGCGAGACAAGCCCGAGCTTGGGGCCATGGCGGGGGGACGTTACAGAGACGGAGAAAGAGGATGCCTTCAAGACAGCCCATGCAAGGGCTGTTGAAAGCGAAAATGAGAGGTCGGAGTAGGGTAGACCCACTTCAAGAGTGGGTTGGAGGGGAAGGCAGGGACGTGGGCGACTCCATGTCGACCACAAAATGCCCCTCACGACCATCCAGAAGGTGCGATTCCGTGCGTTGGATGGTCGTGAGAGGGCATCGAAGGAATCTGCCGTTGATTCCACCACCCCACGCTGTGCTGGCACAGCGTGGGTTGGAGGCATCAAGGTGGCTGCCTGCAGCACAAGCTGATTGGCTACTCTGGCAGCATACAACCCTGAATCAGCTGCATGCAGATGGGCCAAATCATTGGGTACGCAATCAGGACAGCAGAATGGGATTCCATGTTCAAAACAATACCCCGTCACAAGTAGTGTTGAATTCCAATCAAAACATGCATATGCACATTCCATAACTGCTGCGTGCTGTATTTTTTTGTTTCCTTTAATTACACCCAACCCAAAATTTCCTTGCATTTTTTATTAACACCACACGGTGTTTTATACGGGGGAATACGGTAGGAATCACATAGGTGCATGATCCGGCAGCAGGAGCAGTGTTATGAATTATAACTCAGAGAATAGCGCAGCATTCAATAAGGGGAACGTGATTACAGAATGACGATACAAATGAGGGCCTAGGGAATACTGTATATAGGGCGATTGACCAGGGTTGAATGTTGAGGGTTGGACCAGTCAAGGGCTTGAGTCCCGAGGACGACGGGGGCGAAATGGGTTCGGGGCGACTCGGGATGAGGTTGGGGGCCGAATAGGTCGGCGGGGGCTGGTTTGGCGCGAGAACCGGGGGCCGATCCTGCGGACCCGAAGGGTTCGCGTGTACTCGCTGAAGTGAGCCCCAGTAAGGAATCGTAATTTGTTACACTCTCTCACCTTCTAAAGAAGGCACTCCCAATATCGAGGCCGATGGTTCATTATAAGTACAGTAATCCCCGAAGTGATTGTAGATCTTCAACCCTGTGACGAGCGTAATCATTACGCCGGCCTGACAAGATTTTCAGGTCGAACAGCAATCCAAGGTCAGAAAGTGTCGAAACGATCGCTTTTAATTTCAGCCGTCGAAGATGGTCGAATTCTTCAACGGACCGAACGGGCAAGGGTATATAATCCAGTGGAAGACTGTGAACAGTAAAACTGTCGAGTGGGCGATTGACGATGACGCATGTCTGATAAATATCTTCCGTGTAATGGAACTGCCGAATGACATGGCCGTTGGTTTGTCGAGTGGTGATGACCCATTCATCAAATTGTGAGGTCGTCCATGACACATACAAGAACAACCGTTTGATGTCTCGCGAAAGTCAAGGAACTCTGTCAACGGGCTGACAAAAAAGGCGAACGTCTGTAACTGATGTTGATGTCGGTCAGAGATGTATGACTGAACACGCCGGAAGGGTCCTCGAAAATTTGCAGCACAGCTGCACTTCTCCCCCCTTCCAAGAAGAAACAACTCCCAATTCGACATGTACAACTTCATTAAATCCAGTGCTCCATGGTAGTCGAAATACCCAAAATTTGCTGCGTGAAATTCTCATACTCAGCTGCGAGGATGCCGTCGGAAATGCCAATTGAGAAAACTCCCAAATCTGCTCAAAAGTTGAAAACTCTTCTTTAGGGTAAACCACTCCGAAGGTCTTGAAATGCAGCAACAACTGCTCCAGAAGACCCCCACACGAACATCAAAATTCCTCACGAGTCAGCACACTGCTTGCGAGCTGGCCCCAACACAACTCCAACAGTTGGAGATACACCCCTTTGCCAAATCTCTTGTAAATCCGATGCTACTGCTGTCGACTCGGAGGGCGAGCGGGGTCATGTTTGACACAATCGATCGAATGTAGGCAAAGTGACGATGGAGGCGTAAGTGGGTGGTGGCGAGAGGTGGATGACGATGGCAATGGAACGTTACTTGTACTAAACCGCTCCAGTGAATACTCTCACCCCGAACTCGGAGTCAAATACCGCCAGTTGCATCAGCCACTTTGTCCGGCACGCCGAAATACTCAGGAAGAGCCGAAACAGTTTCTGCTCTCCCTCCACTCCATGTACCCATTCTACTCCTCAAAATTCGGTCGATGTTGCTCGTACCCCTACTGATAGCGGGTACTGCTCCAACTGTAAGTCCATGAACTACTCCAGCTAAAATGTCGGAACTCCATCGATACTTAACCAAGACTGCAACACTGCTTCACAGCTACTCGTAATAACTCTCGAAAGACGCGACATCGTTTAGCAGTGCCCATACGGTTGCTCTACCAGCTGTACGCATGAAATGAGCCCTTTATTTTAGGGACCGGAGTTCACCGCCTCATCATGATGTGTTGGCCGTCGATCAGGGTCAACGCGCATCATACGCCGTCGATCTCCGCCCAGCTGTTACCCAACTCCAGAAATTCTATGGTACCCGTGACCAGCTGGCCATGCAGACGTTCACCCATCTCGCGGCTGTTGCAGGTTACCCCCAAACATGTGTCGCTGCTGCTTAACTAACTAAGAGAATCCATAGAGGTTGGGGTGCGCACGCTTCTAGTCAGAGGAGCTTTAACGAGCTCGCCTACTGACCGCTGGACAGCTCCCTCCTCCGTCTGAAACTCGTCGAACTACACCCGCAAAAATCGGAAACTCCTTATGCTGCACCAAGTGAAACCCTCAGCTCCGCTGCAACACTAACTCCTGAAATTTTGGGGACACTCCATCAGCACAGTGTGGTTGCAGGTTCACCCCCCTTTTTCAGCCAAGAGTGGTCGATGACAAATCGACATTGCTTCCTGGTGTGGATGGTGATATTCGGCCGACGTAGCTGAGCGAGCAGCAGCCCGAACGCCGCTAACCCTTAACTGAGCTCCAGTACTCTCGTCGTTCTTCTTCCACTGCTTCAGCTCCTGGCAGATAACGCTTTCGGCGACCGGGTGGTGGCCTCCATTTCCGTTGATCGTGGGGGTATGAATCGCTGGTCCACGAAAACGCCTCCCCACGCGGGAAGTCGCCCTTGCTGAGTACACTTACTTCAGCACAACGTCATCACCTTCAGATGGACGTCGCATGTGAATAGCGCCGAGGTCATTAATCCCAGTTGTTCCCACACAACTGTACATCCACATGTGCCTTGTACGATCGTGTCATTCCGAATTTGTCAGATCCGCCCATTGCCGAAACAGTTTTGAAGTCCCGTCCATCGCCTGCAACTAGCCTGCCGGAAACACCGGTACAACATGCGACGCAGCTACAGTCCACCCTGCCGCTGCATGACGTGCCAAACGTACCGTACATCGTTGTACGTCCCGCCAATTTCGCTACCCCAAGTGCTCCTGACTACCAACTTCCGTCCGCCTGAGGACTCTTGTGCACTTTGTTAAAATTATATAAATTATATATCATTGATAGGCTTGGTAGTTGTTACTGAACCTTACTGTAGAGGGTACAATCCCCTCGTACCCCTCTCTCTTCCTAATTGACTCTCTTCTCTCTCGTCAATCTTCCTAGCTAAACCTCGGCCGCCATTTCATGGCGACCTTCTCCTTTCTTGCTAGATCACTTTACAACACACTTGTCTTCTCGTGACGAAGCCTTCGCTTTTTCGGAAGCCAATCCGAAGACTATCAGAACACCCGAAAATTACGAAAGCTCTAACGAACATACCCATAAAACACGGCGAAAACATCGCCACACTCACGACGAAAGATACTTCCGTCTACGACCGGGGAAGAGGACCGGCTAAATCCTAGCCGTCCATCAAACAGGATCCAGCGGCATCGGAAGCACTACGCCACCAGCATCCCTCCGCCCCCTTCCCCGTTAGGGTCTGCTCCCCTACCAGAAACCTAATGGACAAGAACGTAGCTGTGATAACAGTTGTTATGAATTATAACTCAAGAGAATAGCGCAGTATTCAATAAGGGGAACGTGATTACAGAATGACGATACAAATGAGGGCTTAGGGAATATGTAGGGCAATTGAGCAGGGTTGAATGTCGAGGGTTGGACCAATCAAGGGCTCGAGTCCTGAGGGCGACGGGGGCGAAATGGGTTCCGGGCGACTCAGGATGAGGTTGGGGGCCGAATAGATCGGCGGGGGTTGGTTTGGCGCGAGAACCGGGGGCCGAGCCTGCGGACCCGAAGGGTTTGCGTGTACTCGCTGAAGTGAGCCCCAGTAAGGAATCGTAATTCCTTACAAGCAGCAGCAGTAGCAACAGCAGCAGCAACAGCACTGGTAACAGCAGGACGAGATGTGCAGGCAAAAGCTGTTATCAGCGCATGACTTGGTCCCTCTCCCACTTCTTGGATCTCTCCAGAATGAGATCATCCATTGCTGCCTGTCGCCTCTCCCCACCCCGCCTTCTCAGCAGTAAAACAACAGCAGCAGCAGTAACGGCAGGCTATCGGCGCATGACTCGGTTTCTCTCCCGCTTCCTGAACCGCTCCAGAATAAGATCATCCGTTGCTGCCTGCCGCCTCTCCCCCCCTCCTCTCCCCCCACCCCCATACCCACCCCCACCTCCATATCCCCCTCCACCCCCAGCCCCATCCCCCTGCTGGTAATTATCCCCCCCACTGTACCCCCCTCCCCCTCCTCTCCCCCCTCCCCCTCCCCTGCCACCACGGCCTCCCCCTCTGGAGTCCCGGAACATGTCGGGGTTGTCTGGAGTGAATGCGACAAAATGAGAGAGGGGGGAGGGGGGAGGGAAGGGGGCGGGAATAGGTGGGTGGTGGAACAGGACGGAGTTGCCAGGTATCAGCAGAGGGGTAGGGGATTCCAAAGGATGTGGAGAACGGGTGAGGGTTGTATGGAAAGGTGTTACTGTGGTGGGGAGGGCAAGTTTGGAGTGGGTGGTAGAGAGTGGTGGAGAGTGGTGGAGGGTGCATCGTGATCCTGCTGCAGAATATTCCCTCAGCGGATTACGAATATATGATGCAGAGCATACGTACCCCTTTTAAGCTTCTCCGCGTATTCGCGGCCGCGCTGAAAGAAGTCTGCACTGTAGCTGGCAGGCAGCGTGGTGGAGGGAGGGCTGGAGGGAGGGGATAGTGGAGGGGAGAGGCGATGCGCCAAATGAGTTGCGGCATGCAAGAGAAAACAAGGTGGCGCGAGGTTGGAGGTGGTGGAATCGAGGTAAGGACTACTGTGCAAATCAGAATGCATTACGCTGGATGCGCTTGTTGAGACATATGGCTCCAACAGCGAAGCTGCTTGGCTGGCACACAGTGCAGGCTTTCGCTCCCCGCATCCCCCAACTTCCACACCCCCTCAAAATCCTGTACTGTGGGCAAGCAACAGGGACCATCCCGTCGTCCCTCCCCAAACAGCGCGGACCTCAAATGACCGTCGCTCCTTCAGAGTCGATTTACCAACGTCTGGAAATTAACACTGAAAATGACATCCCTAAAGAACAAACTATACCGTGGGCGTGCCATAAAGGGCCTCCTCTCCTGCAGCATGCGCTTAGCCTCCTCCGTTGCCTCGATGTTGCTCAGCTTATAGCTGGGCGGGGAAGGGGAGGGAATGGGAAGGAAAAGTGGAAGGGGAAGGGTAAAGGGAAGGGCGAGAGAGAGGGGTAGGTGTTGCATCATGCGCCTTGCCTCCAGGAGAGAGCGGATAACAGCGTTGCCTCCTCTATGGCCTTGATGTTGCTCAGCTTAAGGCGCCGGTCCTAGAGATCGTTCTTCCACGTTTATGATCATGTGAGAGATTTTCTCCAACTCACACCCAATCAGAGGCAGTTGTTGACTCACGTCATACTTGCGAAATCAGGCAACCCGTTAAAATATTGATCTAAACGCCCAACTGATCTCTAGGAACCGCGCCCGTATAGCTGGGAAGATGGGAAGGGGGGGCGGAAGAAGGGTGGGCAGGGAACCGAGGCACAGAGGAGGCCACATGATTCACAGCTTTGCCCAGCTGGCTCCATGCTGCTCAGCTGAACTTCAGTGTCCGTGCTCAAAGCTGTTCAAAGCTGTTCAAAGCTGTTCCGCTTTCCTTGCGTCCAGTCCAGTGCCAATTCACTCCCACTCACGTCAGCTCAACACCCTCACTCACGTACTGACTCGATGGAGAGCTGCACCCCTGCAAGCAATGCCAGTGGTCCATGCTGGTCTGCAATGGTACTTCCTTTCACTGCACATGCACTCCAAAACTATCCCAACTCACCCCGGCTCACCACACTCATCTCGCAACTCACTCGATGGGGAGCTGCACCTCTGCAATGCCTGTGGTCCACGCTGTCCCGCCCTCCTCACCCTCTAATTTCCCCACCTGCGCACCACAAAGTGTTGTGAGGACATGGGGTGTGGAAATGGGGTGGGGGAAGTTGGGAACCGAGTGGAAGGAAGGGAGCGATAAGACCCGCAGCGAGTTGGCCGATTGACAACAGCCACTGCAGTCGCATTCCTCACAATCACATGCACCCATGTGGCTGCGAACTCATCCACACCCGCTGCTGCTGAATCACGTGATAGTACATCAGCTGCTGCAGTAAAGATTCGTTACAATCACCTGCAATCGCTGCAATGGCATTCGTTATAATCACCTATGTGCTGTTGAATCTCGTATACCTTTTCTTCCGCTGCAGCCTCCCTCCTCTCCTTCACCATCTCAAATATTACAGCAACCCTCGCTATACTCCCCATTGCCCCACAACATTCGATACAATCACCTGCAAGTGCTGTGGAATCTCGTACAGCTTGTCTTCCGCCCGCAGCCCATCCTCCTCTCCTTCCCCCTCTCTCCTCCCGCCCCCCTCTGCCCCCGCCCCCCCCCCTCGTCTCTTCGCGAGCTCCTCCTCGATATACTTGAGCCTGGGGGTGTCGCACGAGGGGGAATTTGACGCAACATGTTACTACATGGGGTGATAATATTCTTGAACGGCCCGTGTTGCCACCTCTTCCCCCCCCCCCCCTCCCCCTCTCCTCCTAACCACTCTCAATGTACTTGAGCCTGAGAGTGAAAAGGGGGCTGGGGAACACGGATAGGAGAAGGAAGGAAGGACGGCAAACTCAAGGGGACGTAGGCAGACGATGTTCCCCCCCCCCTCCCTTCGCCTCTTGGATGGCTCGTTCCCCCATGCACTCGAGCCGGGGAATGTGTAAGGTAGACGCATGGGCGACAAGGAGTCATGCGTGCCCCAGGAAGGAACCAATAGCCTAACTATATGGGATGGACGGCCCATGGTTGAGTTGAGTGGCACATTTGCCACCTCTACCCCCCCCAACCCCCGCCGCTTCGCCAGCTCCTCCTTCATGTACTGGAGCTTGGAAGGGTTGTGGCGCAGGGAAGGGCGGAGGGAGTGCAAGGAGGCTTAGGCAAATGACGTTGGCCCCACCCCTATCTGCGCGGTCTGCTCCTCCCCAACGCGCTTGAGGAGTCTATTGTTGAGGCGCCTCAAAAATGGTGCTGGCCTTCCCCGTGTCTGTGTGGCCTGCTCCTCCTCACCGCCCTTGAGCGTGGCGGGGTTGAGAAACGGGGAAGGCCAGAGGGGAAGGCAGGCAGGGAGACTAGGTGAGAGCGTGAAGCGAGGAGGAATGAGAGAGGCGAAGAGGAAGCTCATGCAAAGAGACAGGCCGCTGTGCAAGCTCCTGCCCACTCAATGCTCTGGAGGACAAGGCTGGGCTGGGCTGGGCTGGGAGGGACAGATGGTTTCAAAACATGGAGAAGGAAGGGGAAGAGCGGAGTGAGCAGAGCGACAGATCTGATGAGAAGCTGCTAATCGTTCATCTCCCTCCACGTTCCCGAGCTGAGCTCCATCCTTCCCTTCCCGCTGTATATTTTGCACATCTCCTCGCATTCCTCCATGCTTATCTTCCTACAGTGATGGCCATATCCTTGGCAAAAGTGTCCCGTACCTCTCCTTCTATCCTCTCTGCATCTCTCTTTTTATTGGTCGAATTGAAACAGTCACGTCTCGTTACTGTCACATACATGTTCGGGTCTTCTACAGTAATCGCCGTCTCCTGCGCAAATGTGTCCTGTAGCACCAGCTCCTCCCCCCCCTCGCCCTCTTCCCCCGCCTCCCCCTGCACCCCCGCTCCTACCCCCTTCCCCTCCGCCCCCTCCGCGCCTGTCAGGGCGCCATCTGCAGCGATTCCCTTGAGGCGCACGCGCTGCTGCTGCAGTAGGCGCACCTCCTCTAGGGCGGAGCTGGAGAGTCGGGGGAAGTGGGGAGGGGGGAGGGGGGAGAAGTGGGGAGGGGGGAGGGGGGGGAAGGGGAGGAAAACACAGGTGCGCCATCAGCAACGATTTCCTTTGAGCCGCACGCGCTGCTGCTGCACCAGGCGGACCTCTTCTTGGGCGGAGCTGGGACGAGTGAGAGGGGTGGGGAGTGATGAGAAGCGGATTCCACGAAACACGGTGAGCGTGTGCCATCCGGTCATTCCTTTAACCCGTTGCCAGAGTACCCGTTGCCAGAGTACCCGTTGCCAGAGTACCCGTTGCTAGAGTACCCGTTGCCAGAGTACTCGTTGCTAGAGTACCCGTTGCTAGAGCTCCCGTTGCTAGAGTACCCGTTGCTAGAGTACCCGTTGCTGCTGCAGCAGGCGCACAGAGCTGGGAATTCCGTTAAGGGAGGGGAAGGGGGAGGGAGGGGTGCGAGGAGAGGATTTGATCATGGGTAATTATTCCTCTCAAAAGAGATCAAGGCGAGTGCGCCATCTGCGGCTATCCGTTTCAGCCCCACCCGCTGCTGATTCATTCCGTAGGGTGGGTGTGGGGAGACGGAGAGGGGTTGGGAGCGGTTCGGGATGATTGAGGGAACGCTGTGAGTGAGTGTGCCATTGACGGCTATCCCAAACGCGCTGCTGCTGCTGCTGCTGCTGCTGCTGCTGCTGCTGCTGCTGCTGCTCCTGCTGCTCCTGCTGCTCCTGCTGCTCCTGCTGCTGCTGCTGCGGTAGGCGCACCGTTGCTAAGAGGAAGAGAAAGGGGGGTGAAGGAAGGGGAGTGGGAGGGGGACTGGATGAAGTGAGGGTTCCAGGCAACACAGTCAGCGCGCACCAGCACCAGCTGCTGCTGGAGCAGCAGGGGGCCGTTCGCTGATAATTTTGACGGGAAGGGGAAGGGGCACGAGGAGTAGCACGGGCGACAGTCTCCCGGGCGAACAGAAGTTACGTGGCCGAACGTATTCGATAATTTTATTTGTGCCCGCGCGGACCCGAAGTCAAGACAGTCAAGTTAAATGATGGCAGTGGTCAAGCTTGCAGAAACGAGTAAAACAAATTTGCCGACGATGTGCAGTGACACCTTTCAGATGTGGGGACCTTCCACGAAAAAAATCCCCGACCACTCCAATTCGGATTGGCCAATTAAACGCGAGTGCACTGGCCAGCTCTGCGCGCCATGCCGAAGCCCCTCCGCTCAATACCACGACCTTAGTGGTATGAGTTGTGTGGGGGGTATGGCACTAAGTTTGCCCCTGAGCTCTGGGCGGCGGATTTTGTGCGTTTTTGGGGGGAACGGGAAGAGGCACGCGACTTGGGAGTTCTAGGTTTGGAAATCGCCAACTAAACCAAACCCGTCGCATGATGACGTCATTCGTCGCACTAAACTTTCGGCGACCCAACGAACCCTCGTTTTATGTTCCGCATGCCAGACCTTCCTCTCCGTGCCACGGTAAAATTGGCCGGCGAACGGCCCCCAGCAGACGCTCAGTCCAGAGGGACCCTAGAAGGGTTGGGATTCTAACTTGTTCACGGGCGGAGCTGGAAGAGGCAACTTGAGAGAGCAAGGAATCGGGGGGTGGAAGCGGTGGGGGTTGAAGGAATATTGTGAGTAGGGGGAGCAGGGGTGGAGTACGGAAAAGCATGTCGGGTGGGGAACGTGGTTAGGGCGGTAGAGGGAGAGGTGAAGTGGCGTGGAGAGGTGAAGCGGTGTGGAGAGGCGAAGCGGCGTGGAGAGGTGAAGCAGTGTGGCCCATACCGTACGGTATGCCCGAATTCGACGGTCTAAGGCCAAGCCTAGGTTAGTTGCATATCGTACGGTATGCCGGAAAGGTTCGACCAAGACCGAATCTAAGTAGAACGCGTACCAAGCGTCCTCCTGCTCCTCGGAACCGCTATTTGATATGGTACTATAAACACGCATCATACGGTCTATCGACAGCCCTAAGGTACCCAGGGAAAGCGCATACGGACGTTTTCCTGCTCCTCGGAACCTCCTACACCACCCCTCTCCTCCTGCCTCCACGGTGATATGCAACGGTGCGCATGCATGGTACGGTCTACGGTCGAACCTAGGTGAAGTCAAATCGAATCTACGGTAAGCGCGTACCGGACGTCCTTCTGTTCCTCGGGCTCCCCTCCGCCGTCCCCCTCCTCCTCCTCCAGCGCTTTCCGCTTCCGGAACTGCCGCTTCTGCTGCACCGGCATGGCGGATGCACGCTGAGGTGGCAGAAATATGCGGAGCAAAGAAATACGCGTCGCGGAGAAATATGCGTTGCAGATGAATAGGCGTCGCAGAGGAATAGGCGTCGCAGATGAATAGGCGTAGAGACGGTGGCTTGTGGGACTACTAAGGCTGTAATTGTAACAACCCTTGCCCTTAGACCATGGGCAACAAGGGTTGAAGTCCCAAACCCAACATCCAAGATCCTAGGATATAAAATGGAGTACAAAATGAACCTAACGATCCCCTAGCGTAGTATTTAGGAGGAACCTCCTCTAAGAGGTAGCTTAAGCTTGAGGAAAGCCCTTGAAGAAAAATGCCTGAGACTCTGGTTGGGTAGGGCTTCCCCTAGGAGATCACACTAGAAGCCACTAGTGTAGGGAAGCTTGTGAGGAGAGCTCATGACTTAGAGAAAAATCCCATTTCAAGATTGATTTCTTGGAGTGGGAAGTTGAGAATGAGCTTCTCAGCTCAGACCCCTTCCAATGACTCCATTCAGATTAGCATATAGTGTACAGCATAAGAATATTCGAGTTGAGTTGGCACTGCCAACCAACTCCCTGGTTCTGATTGGTCGCAAGTCCAACCATCGCGTAAGTTGGGAATTTCGCCAACTCAATTTGTACAACTAAAATCTGATTGGTCCCAAGTGTCGACCAATCCCAATCCTCCCCTCCCAACCCTTCCTTCCCATTTCGCGCTACCTAGCATAGGTAGCCGATTTGTGGAAAGCGGTTGGGAAGGTCGTTTTCTAGGTCCGCGTACTGTGCAGAGCCCATGCGTTACACTCCTCCCCCTCCAGGTGGCAACGTCCTCGTTGCCGTAGAGTGCTTCTGGGGACGGGTGCTTCGAGCACGCCGAATCACATTACGACCAGGATCAATACCATCCACTGGTTGTGAGGCTGCTCTTTGAGCCAGGTCTTCCAGATATCCGTGAACCGCAGTTTCGGTCAAATGTTCCTCTGGCTCCCATGAGTTGTGTTCAGGCCCATAGCCTTTCCACTTAATAAGGAACTCGCGTACTGTCTTGCGGCCGCGCTGTCGATCACGGTGCATGAGCACACGCTCGACCTCATAAAAGAGTTCCTCTCCGAGGACGATCGTTGGCGGAGGTAAGTACTTGTCTTCAGCAATGTACTTATTGAGCAGAGACACGTGGAAGACATTGTGAATCTACAATGTTTCGGGTAACTTCAACTTGTAAGCTACTACACCAACGCGCTGGATCACCTCGAAAGGCCCAATCCATCGAGGGAACAGCTTTCGTGCCCCAGGGATTTTGAGACGAATGTTCTTCGTGCTCAACAATACCTTGTCTCCAACCTCAAAAGAGACGTCCCGGCGTTTCATGTCGGCATAAGACTTTTGTCGCTGCTGAGACAGCTGCAGCCAGCGGCGAGCAGACTTGAGCGCTTCTTGCTGCTTGCCCACAAAGTCTTTCGCGGCAGGGACTCGCAGTCCGCCTATCCCATGCGTAGCAGGTGTCGTGGGATGCCGACCACAGTTCAGAATGAAGGGTTTTTCATGGGTACCTTCATGGACAGAATTGTTCACTGCAAACTCAACCACAGGTAACAAGTCGTCCCAATCATCCTGAGTTGGGCCAATAAAGGAACGAAGCATTTGCTCAAGAGTACGATTCGTCCGCTCTGTCTGGCCATCCGTTTGGGGATGGAAGGCTGACGACATCTTTAGCTTCGTTCCGAGTGTCCGTGTAACTTCGTGCCAGAACCGGCTTGTAAAGCGCGGATCTCGATCGGACACCAGCACACGCGGTAACCCGTGTAAGCGGAACACGTGGGCTACAAACAACTTGGCCGTATCTTCCGCAGATACGTCTGTTGTAGTAGCAACGAAGTGCACCATTTTGGTCAGTCGATCCACAAAGACCAAGATCGCAGTATGACCGTCTCGTGTTTTTGGGAGGTCTGTGATGAAATCCAGTGAGACACTCTCCCAGGGTTCGTCTGGAATCTCTAGTGGTTGAAGCAAACCACCAGGCTTTTTCGTGTCTGACTTGTTGCGTGCGCATGCATCACAACGCGACACGAATTGTTGGACCTCAGTCCCCAATCCAGGCCACCAGTACACGCCACTTAAGGCCCACCGGGTTTTCTTGATACCCAGGTGTCCCCCGTACTTGGTGCTATGCACTTCCTCAATTATATCATTCCGCAGGTTACTCACGTGGGGTACCACAATCTCTTTCTCTCGCCACCACAGCTCATGCTCGTACTTGAGGCCCTTCGTATTTTGTGGGTTCTGAAACCAGGAGTCAATATGGTATCCTGTGCGGATGCGTTTCAGAAAACCACTGAAGGTGACCTCACTCACTCGAGCCACAGCAAGAATACCGAAACAAGCAGCAACCACTGCCTTATCCTCGATTTCTTCAAGCCCAGTCGCTGCCCCTATCGGTTGTCTGCTGAGGGGGTCAGCCATGTTCGTAGAACCTGCACGATATCGAATATCGAATGTGAACCCACTAAGGAGTTCTGCCCAGCGGGCTTGGCGCCGAGTGAGCGTGGCTTGAGTAGAGAAATAGGTGTTCGGACAGTGGTCTGTCGTGACCACAAACTCCACACCTTCCAGATAACATCGCCATGTTCTTAGCGCATGCACGACCGCCAGCAACTCTTGTTCTGATGTCGTATAGCGCTGCTCTGCCGGGGAGAGCTTCCTACTCTCAAATGCCACTGGGCGGCCCTCCTGCAAGAGTACCGCCCCAATCCCTACTGTCGAGGCGTCGGTGACCACCTCATAGGGTTTTGAAGGATTTGGCAATACCAGAACCGGAGCATTGGTCAGCTTTGTTTTGACTTTGTCAAATGCCTCTTGGCATTGTCGAGTCCACTCCCAGGCACTACCCTTTCGGGTGAGTGCTGTCAGAGGGGCAACGACAGTTGAGTAACTTTCCAAGAACCGGCGGAATAATTGGCCAGGCCTAGGAAGGACCTGATCTGGCCCACGTCTTGTGGGACGGGCCAATTCTGAACAGCCACCACCTTCTTGGGGTCGACTTTAAGTCCGTTGTTCCCGACAAGATGACCGAGGTATTCCAGCTCGCGTTTGTAGAAATGGCATTTCCATAAACGAGCATAGAACTTGTGTTCTCGCAACTTTCCTAACACCCATTTTAGGTGTTGAGTGTGCTCCTCTTCAGTCTTGGAATAAACCAAGATGTCGTCAAGGTAAACCAGAACGAAGTGCCCGATTGCTTCGCGGAACACATCGTTCATGGCCCTTTGAAAAGAGGCTGGAGCATTGGTCAAGCCAAAGCTCAGCACACGCCATTGAAAATGGCCAAACGGCGAACGGAACGCCGTCTTGGGAACATCTTCCTCAGTGATGCGCAGTTGGTGGTACCCCTGTGCCAGATCCAACGCGCTAAACCACTGAGCACCCTGGAGTCGATCGAACAGGTCTTCTATCCTTGGAAGAGGATATCTGTTCTTGATCGTGATCTTGTTTAAGGCGCGGTAGTCGACGCACATGCGTAAGCCACCACCCTTCTTGTTAACGAACAAGATTGGTGCTCCATATGGTGATGCGCTTGGCTCAATCCATCCCTTCTTGAGGTACTCCTCAATCTGCTGTTTAGCCTCCTCGTACTCAGCTGGACTGAGGCGATACAGAGGTCGAAACGGGGGGAGCTTTCCAGGCTCCACAGGGATGGTGTGGCCTACGGCGCGGTCAGGAGGGAGTCCGTCCGGAATAGACTCAAAAACCTCCTTAAACTCATCCGCCAGTACCTTCATTTGAGGTGGAAAATCCTCAATGTCTGGCATTGGGGTTCCAGCTTCCTCGAGCTGTATGACGAAAAGTGTGTTAGCAATGCGGTAATGCTGTCCGAATTGACATGCAAGAGCAAAGCACACGTCTGGACTTTTCGTAATTTGAACCGCCGGGATGGTTGTGTCGACAGACACCTGCCACTGGATTGATTCACCATTCTTGGTGAAAGAAACTGTGTTATCCTGGAAATCCAGAATAACCTCATTTGCACGTAACCAATCCATTCCCAAGACTACGTCGACACCCGCAAGCAAGGGGAGGACGTAAGTGCGAATCTTTTCGTTATAGCCTTGGATTTCCATGTCGATCATTGTCCGTCCTTTGCTTGGGATAAGACTATTGTCACCAAGACGAATGGGACATGACGGTCCTTCAACGAGGACCCCAAGCGGTGTCACCCACTTTTCATCAAAGAGGGAAACAGTGGCACCTGTATCGACAAGAATTTTCGCGCTACGTCCGTTAACGCGACCCGAAAGGAGTAGATTTTGTTCATGCATTGGGCGGATGGGGCATGCCACAATGTTCGACGAGGGTTTGTAATACACCTTGACATTGTGGCGGGCTCGTCCAAAGGATTCAGATTTGGTCCACCACACATGGTGTCCCTTGTCCCAAGACACCAGCACAACCCATCCACGAAGCGATTTGAACGTTTCGCCCTTTACTGTACGAGTCACCACGGCGACCGCAGTCAGGGGGTGCTCTTGAGTACAACGATTCACAACATCGAGTACAGAAGGCAGTGTTTCCAGGCCACAGTAAACGACTGAGAATTTATCTCGTAACGCTTCAATGGATATAGCATCAAGTGGGTACGATCGAGGTGCAAACATTGATTTTGTATTAAAAGAAGAGGCAAACAAACAAGAGATTTTGCATTCAGCAAGCTTTTCTAGCTTTAGTAAATCATCATCACATAAAGCATATGCCTCATCCCCTCGATCTATCTGACCAACTAGGTACCCACACCCTAGTTGGACTTTTGAAAATCCTTCTTACTGCCAGAAGGTCCTTCGCCGCCATTATTGTTGCCCTTAGGCTTACCACTATGCTTTGTGATGTTCCTATAGCGGCACTGAAATTCCATGTGACCACGGCGGCCACACCCTCGGCAGACGACATTAGAGAAGTCCCTTGGCGGCCCTTTGTAACCGCCACCATTCGCCCTCTTAGCCGGAGGACGCTGCTGGTTACCATTCTGGTGGAAGGGCCTCTTGTACCCATGGCCCTTCCCCTTGGAATTCCACTGGCCACCACCACCATTGCCACCATCGCCCCTCGGCTGAGTCCTCGACTCAGGCTGGTCGGTGGAAGGCGTTGCTAGCATACGAACAGTCTCGTCCGTTGCTTGAACCACCTCTTTGAGCTCCTTGTAGGTGCTCCATTTGTTGAGGCCATTTGTGACATGCTTATCCTGCAGGGACTGGGGCAAGTTCTGGAAGAAGATATACATAACTTCATTCTCAGACAGCTGCTTGCCCATCAGTCGCAGGACGCCCTCAAATTCTTGTGCATATTTCTGCACTGAGCGATCGCCACACTTGATGTTTTCAAGGCGACGACGCACTTCCATGTCAGTTGTCTTGACAAGAAAAGCCGCTTTCATTGCTGCACAGAACTCGTCCCAAGTGAAAAACTTTCCATTTGCCTCGAGCTGTTTCCGGCTAGCAAACATGGTTTGGCTAGCATGCTCATCCAACACACCAGAGACAGCAGTGACACGAGCATTGGAACGCACGTTGTGGAGAGTTAGCATTTCATCCACAGTTGTCACCCAGTTCTCAACATCCGTCTTGCCATGGATGAATTTTGGGAGCGCAGTGGGGAGCGAGCCAAAAGGCGTTGCCATGGGCTGGACAGGCTGCTGAGGTGCTGTAGTTGTAGGAGATGCAACAGGCGGCGGGTTGGATTGGGTGCCCGATGGGCCAGCAGTAGCGGGTGAGTGTTGGTAGACAGGACCCCGCCGAATATCCCTGTACTGGTTCTGCAGGTGGGCAATAGCAGGTTGCATCGGGGCGATTGTAGATTGCAGTTGGGCAGTTGTAGTCTGCAGTTGGGTAATAGCAGCTTGCAGCTGGTCGCACGTTTTCTCCAGAGCCTGAATTTGATTGCCCCTGTTATGTAGCAGACGCTTGTGATCCCGTACCTCTCCGTATGCTATATTGAGATCGGCTTGCAGCCTAGTCGTGTCGGCCTTTTGTGTCGCCAAAGCAATATTGAGGGAGTTGATGTGTCCCTTCTGCTGATTGATTGTAAGCTGCTGCTCGGAGACTTGTGCCTGGAGTTTAGCCACACCATCGGAGAGCGACCATTCCTCGATGCCATCATCCTCCCCCTCTGCTCCATCAATCCCTTCTGCTTCTCCATGCTCTTCATTTCCCTCATTCTCCAAATTTAGGTCCACCAATTCGATATCAGCCATGGCCTCATCTTGCTGTTGGTTATTACTAGCAGCAAGGTTGGCTCCCTCAGGAGTCACATTAGGCTCCTCCCTTTCCAAATTCTCCAAAACTTGACTTGAAGTCATGGTAAAACAAGGAAGATATTTCAACAGATCTGAAATGTTCTTTAAAAATCTCTTAAGAAATCTGTTCAAGTCCCAATCACTGCAGTGAGAGGGCAAGACAATCTCTATAAAGAGATCTCTTAACAGAATGACTTAATAAGAGAAATTACAAGAAATACAATCTGTTGCCCAATCCCTAGCAACTCAACGCTAGGGCAAGATCTAAACTAGATCTTGCAACAGATCGCAGATCGGAGCCACACTCCTCAAGGGAGTCTTCCACCAACAAGGTGGGTAAGAGAGAAAATGTTCTCTCTTCAAATCTTGAATGGTGGAGGTAGGAGAAGAGGTTGTGCTGGAAAATTGTCTTGAGAAGTGGGGGAATTGATGAAGATCTTGAAGAAGCTCTTCAAAACGACTTGGAGAAGCTTGAGATATCTTGAAATCTTCACTCCAATGTCTTGGATTGAAGTCCAATCACCCCTCTAAAAAAAAGATCAAGAAAATTCCCACAAGGCTTAAGATTAACGTAGCTCTGAATACCAAATGTAACAACCCTTGCCCTTAGACCATGGGCAACAAGGGTTGAAGTCCCAAACCCAACATCTAAGATCCTAGGATATAAAATGGAGTACAAAATGAACCTAACGATCCCCTAGCGTAGTATTTAGGAGGAACCTCCTCTAAGAGGTAGCTTAAGCTTGAGGAAAGCCCTTGAAGAAAAATGCCTGAGACTCTGGTTGGGTAGGGCTTCCCCTAGGAGATCACACTAGAAGCCACTAGTGTAGGGAAGCTTGTGAGGAGAGCTCATGACTTAGAGAAAAATCCCATTTCAAGATTGATTTCTTGGAGTGGGAAGTTGAGAATGAGCTTCTCAGCTCAGACCCCTTCCAATGACTCCCAGCAGCTGCTCAACCTCCTCCATGGCTCTAAGGAGGTGAGCTAGCTTATGTGGCAAAAGGGTTGGATTTCCAACAAATGAGAGGTTTACAACAATATATTCAGATTAGCATATAGTGTACAGCATAAGAATATTCGAGTTGAGTTGGCACTGCCAACCAACTCCCTGGTTCTGATTGGTCGCAAGTCCAACCATCGCGTAAGTTGGGAATTTCGCCAACTCAATTTGTACAACTAAAATCTGATTGGTCCCAAGTGTCGACCAATCCCAATCCTCCCCTCCCAACCCTTCCTTCCCATTTCGCGCTACCTAGCATAGGTAGCCGATTTGTGGAAAGCGGTTGGGAAGGTCGTTTTCTAGGTCCGCGTACTGTGGAGAGCCCATGCGTTCAGTAATGGAGGCTCTCTCGTGAGTACAAGGCTCAACCCTAAAAATACACGCAGATTGTACGCTACACCTTAGCGTTGTCCTTTCTTCCTTCAAACCTCGAGCCGAGCACTTCTCGAGGTCCACTCCAGTTGAGTCTCGAGAGTTGAAACTCCAAACAACAGTACGTCTGCCAAGGTGTAGTAGTGTACATGCAAAAGCTGCTCTCGAATACATTTTCCGTGCGTTTCACGTTTGCACTTGAGGCAGGAGTCGATTCCATGTCGACCCTGACACCTGTGGTGCTCTCTCACTTCGTTGCAGCTGGTTACAAACTGTACCTGCTGGGAACTCGCTCGGAGCTTTCGACACCGTCAAATCTCAACGAGTTTGCACACGCTGGGAACGAGAGACACCAGGTCGAAAATTCGCATAAATCGGCATGACACATCCTCCACGTGAGATTTTTTGGTAACATTCACAATGTGGATAGCTTCCTCCAGAAATTACAAAATCCGTATTGGCAGTCTGCCTTCTATCTACCGTCCACGACGTTACTTGGCGTGAACTGAAATCGCAACTCTCTCGCTCACTTTTGGTTGAGATGCGATCTCGACAGCAAGAAATAGACCATTCGTAACAGGGATGGAATCGTATGTTTTTGCACCAGTGAATCCAACTACAAGGCGGCTGTTAAAACCCGCGTACCAAATGTCCCAAAATTGCCTCGAGCTTCCTACCTTTGGTTGAGAGTTCCCTAGGAGGACTACTCCAAAACCAATCCTGTCCTCCTATCCAACCAACCTTCCTACCATTGAACTATCTGGCACGTGGGTTTTAAGGGCGTGTAACATTTCTTACGAACTCGCTCAGGGTCGACCGTTCAGAAAGGTTGCACGCGGTCTGGTAAGATTTACTACGATTTGTACAAAACAACACGTGGTACAGTACGGTGAATGTTCGGTTCGGAAAATGTTACACGCCCTAAAAACTTCCCTCAGTCATCTGCTCTCAGTCCCTCACTCCAAGTGTCTCTCGTGACGCAGTTCTGGTGTCAACCTTCGTCCTCCATATCAACGCCATCTCGCGCCACCAGTCATGCACGCCACAGCACTCCCTGCTTCCGCCATCAATGCCGTCGCCGGCATCGCATTGTCTGGTTCGCCGGCGGCAGTGTCATCGCCGTTAGCCAGAAACATTCGTATTGGAAACGCAAAACCACGCGCCGTAACACCTGCCAACGCAGCGGCAGGATGTGGCACGACGACCGGGTGCGTCCATGCCAACTATACCAATAAAGCGCCTAGTATTAAGGCGCGTGAAACGCACGCTGCTACAGTGCCCAGGCTCCTCCACGGCGGAGAGCGGGGGTCGAGGCGGGTGGTCGCGTCGGCCGCAGCCGACGGAGCCGCAGCCTCTGCGGATGTGACTGAAACGGATGTGACTGAAGCGGATGCGGCGGCGGTGGAGGCGGCGGCGTGGGAGATTCTGGACGACTTTAATCGACGCGACGTGCGGGGGGAGCCGCAGGTAGGGCGAGAGGAGAGAGTCGAGAGCCGAAAGAGGGCTTCTGGTCGCATTCCCGCCTTCCCAGGCCGCCCTTCTCGCCCAGCTGTCCCTGTCAACCCTCAGGTGTCTCCTTTACCCTCAGGTGTCTCCTTTACCCTCAGGTGTCTTTGTTACCCTTACATATCTCTGTTACCCTCAGGTGTCTCTGCCAACCCTCATGTTTCTCTGCTGGTGTCTCTGTTACCCTCAGGTGTCTCTGTTACCCTCAGGTGTCTCTGTTACCCTCAGGTGTCCCTGTCTCTCAGGTGTCTACCATCCATCCAGGCATTTTCGTCAACCCTCATGTGTCTCTGCTCCCCTGGACGACAATCATTCATCTGCGCCTCGCCTTTGCTCCACTCTCCATCACTTGCCAGCAAGCCCGAATCTCCAGCACCCCAGAGCCCGACGACTCTGTCTTCCCCCGCTCTGTCTTCCCCCGCTCTGTCTTCCCCAGCTCTGTCTTCGCCCTCTCTGTCTTCCCCCGCACTGCACTTCAGGATCTCCCCCTGTTAATGAGCCGCTTGAGGAGTCCCTAGCCAGCCCAGATCCTTATGAATCCCTTTTCACAATGCACACTCCCCTTCCCCCTCTCTGGGCCAGGCCAAGGGCGGATTGCAGTCCTCCAGCCTTCTTTCCTGCTCTCGAGGCTCTCGAGGCATGTTGCCCACCCGCCCCATCTTCATTGCCCACCCGCCCCATCTTCATTGCCCACCCGCCCCATCTTCATTGCCCACCCGCCCCATCTTCATTGCCCACCCGCCCCATCCGCTTTGCACTCCGACCCCCTTCTTCCCTCTGTGCGCAGGTGTCCCTATCAACCCCAGGGGGCGTTGCAGCCCTCAAGGCCTCTCTGCTGCTAGCTGCTGAAGCCGCACTACGGGACGAATCCGCCCGCCCGCTGCTTGGCATCTGCACAGGGAGCGTGGAGGAAGGCTTTACCTCTCTGCGCCAATACCTGCTGGCACTTGGCTGCGCTGACCCTGTGAGTGCCCTCGGCTGTGCTGACCCTGTGAGTGAACCGACGATGTTGTTGCTGTGGCCCTGTAAGGGCACTGCGTTGCGTGTGGAAGCCCTGGGTTTGAGCGCGTGTGCTGCCACTCGCGCAGTGTGGAGTGGAGGAGGCCTGAGCCTCTCTGCATCGTCAGTACCTGGTGGCCCTTGGGCGCTGCGACCCCGTGGGTGCACTGGTTTGATGAACACCTACCTGGCATTCATTGTGTGCTCATGCTGCTACTCATTGGGTGCGGAGGAAGGGGGTGCCCCTCTATGCCAGTATCTGCTGCTGGGCCTGGGGTGGGGTGCTCCAACGCTTTGAGTGCACTTCAGCTGGGTTCAAACAGACCCAAAGCGTGTGTGCTTTTAGAGCCACCATCTTCTCACACCCCATCACCATCTTCTCACACCCATCTTGCTGCCCAAAAATACAAGCCCAGCAGGCTCTTCTCCCTCGCACCTCATAACCATCCTCGCACCTCTCCTCCCTCATAAGCATCCTCGCACCTCTCCTCCCTCATAAGCATCCTCGCACCTCTCCTCCCTCATAACCATCCTTGCAACTCTCCTCCCTCATAACCATCCTTGCACCTCTCCTCCCTCATAACCATCCTCGCACCTCTCCTCCCTCATAACCATCCTCGCACCTCTCCTCCCTCAACCATCCTCGCACCTCTCCTCCCTCATAACCATCCTTGCAACTCTCCTCCCTCATAACCATCCTTGCACCTCTCCTCCCTCATAACCATCCTCGCACCTCTCCTCCCTCATAACCATCCTCGCACCTCTCCTCCCTCATAACCATCCTCGTGCCTCTCCCTCATAACCATCCTCGCACCTCTCCTCCCTCATAACCATCCTCACACCTCTCCTCCCTCATACCCATCGTCGCACCCCCCCTCCTTCCTTCAAACCTTGCAGGCTCTTCTAGGTCAGCCCGAGGGCCTGTTGGTGGCGTGGCAAGCCAAGTATGCCAAGGAGGTGGTGGGACCCGCATACATAAAGTTCAATAGTAACTCCAAGGTACATCAAGTCCAAGGTACATCAAGTCCAAGGTGCATCAAGAGTAGTAACTACGAAGCACAAAAACGCTTGAATAATTGTGGAACGCTCCAAAAAATACACTTAAATGGCTCAACTGTGCTTCAAGATACTAAGAGTTTGACATATCTGTAAGCAAACGTGTGCGGCATGTGAACTGTGGGGGCCATTCTCATCTGATTTACAGGCAACTAGGAGTACTGATTGCCCATACCTGTCTGTACCTGTCTATGCCTTTCTCAAATCACTCTTTAATTCAAGCAGCTTATGAGTTGACTGAAGGTTTTACCCCTCTCCCCCTTTTTTCATGCGCTTATTGTCCAATGAAGACGTGCCAGGTGTCGCCATACCAGACAGGGACGTTCCGTGGAGTAATTGTTCAGGTGTGCATTTTGTTGTTCTCAATGCGTTGCCATCACCATGTTTCTATGTACCATCCACATGCTACCATCCACATGTTGCTATCCGTGTGTAGCCCTCATACACTACCATCCACATGTTACTATCCGTGTGTAACTGTAAGGAATTAGTAATTCCTTACTGAGGCGCACTGCTAGTGGGTACACCGAACGTACATGGCACCGGGCTAGGCCCTAGTTCCATCACCATACACGCTACACCGAACCTTTTCCGCGTCATTCCGAATCGCTCCGCGTCCTCGAATGCCTTCGCCGAACCTGTGCATCACGCGGTTAGGATTCGCTCTGGTGTTCCTATATCTTGCCTCGTGATTCATTGTACCGACAATCTGTGAATCTGTCATTTCGAACTTCGATATTCACTTCCGCGCTATTCTAGGTTTCCACCCATAACACCTGGTATTCAGAGCACTTTCCTAGGCAACAACTTCCGCCGCCCATGAATTTTTCTCTAGGGGGGGTTAAGGAGGGATGGCTGGAGGGCACGAAGCTGCACAGCGGTGGTCCTGCAGCTAGTTATGTTTAGCTGCAACAACTACGATAGCGTGTGCGCACCATCGCCACTCGATCCGTGCCTTCGGACGGTCAGGATGGATCGTATCCTCCCTCCCCCAAGAACGGACAGAATCTGCTGTCACGTGGATCGTCACTGTTCAACCTCGGTTGCATTCTGTGTGGCAACTGGCGTCGTCGACACGCGGCGAAGACGATTTCGAGCGTGGCGACGTGGTTCACCGATTCGACGGCGAAAAAAGCAAGGAGCTCGCCACGAGTCGACGGGCTCGCGAAAATCCCCAGGCGAGAAGATTGTTTCGGCAGGAGGGCGCGAAGCTGATCTTCAGCTGCAAAAGTTACTTGTAGCTGGGCGTCATGGTTTTCGGCGTTTCCGGCAGGGGACACGCAAGTGAAGACGGACTTCGGATACTGTTCAGCAACGTGGTGTTGGAGTTTCCGGCACGACCAAGGATCGCACTGTAGCACACGTGGGGCTCAGGCACGGAGGAATTTCGAGGATTACTGACCTTGGGATCGATTCGCGTGACCTGCCCGCCTGGAGCTGTATTTAGTCTGCCTTGGAGTTTCGAGCTCGGCGAGTCTGGATTCCTGCAGAGGAAGCCATTTTTGTGGTCAGAAAATACACTCCACGATCTACGGAGGATGACCAGCAACTACCCTCGGGTCATCTTAAGTGTCATCGCCGGGTCACCGCTAAAAGTCAACGTCGAAGAGCTGAAGTAGAAAAGAAGAACGACCTAGAACAGCCGGTTAAGAGTCAATAGCAGCACGGATCCCCCTACTGACTCGCTGGGTCGCCCGATTTTTCAGCACCACCACCAGTTTTACCAGTTCGGGTTTAATGATGCTCCGACGGTCCTGGACGAATAACGGGGGTGAGCTTGCGGATTACCCTGCGCTGGTGGATCGTTTCAGAAAATAGAAAATTGGTGTCGCGATTTTCGCCAAGGTACGACGATGGGTGAACATAGGCTTGAGCAAAACCGGGTAATTACCCGACCCGACCCGGTTTTGCAATACCCGACCTCGGGTCGGGTAATTTCGGGTCGGGTAATTTCGGGTCCGGGTCGGGTAATATGCCCAGGACCCTTACCCGGACCCGGCCTTAAGGGGACGGGTAATACAATACCCGCCTGGCGGGTCCGGGTATACCCGACCCGGTTACCCTGAAAAGCGGGTAATACTACCCGCCACCTACTAGTGGGCATCCTAAAGTTGGGCTAGGCTAGGTAGGGTTCCTGAAAACGCGACTCTCAAATGAGAGTCGCGTTTTCTGGGGGTCGAATTTTGACCACCCAACTCCCTCCCTTTCACCGCACTGAACTCCTCCCCGTCTACAAACTCCAATTTCCAACCAAACTCCCTCCCATTCACCGCACTGAACTCCTCCCTATCTACAAACTCCAACCTTTCTAACAAAACTCCCTCCCTTTCACCGCACTGAACTCCTACCCATCTACAAACTCCAACCTCTTCTCCAACTCCCACCCAACTCCCTCCCTTTCACCGCACTGCACTCCTACCCATCTACAAACTCCAACCTCTTCTTCAACAACCCACCCAACTCCCTCCCTTTCACCGCACTGAACTCCTACCCATCTACAAACTCCAACCTCTTCTCCAACTCCCACCCAACTCCCTCCCTTTCACTGCACTGAACTCCTACCCATCTACAAACTCCAACCTTTTCTCCAACTCCCACCCAACTCCCTCCCTTTCACCGCAGTTAACTCCTCCCCATCTACAAACTCCAACATCTCACAAATGCTCCACTCGTCCCCTCTCACCTCCAAAACCGTTTTGCCCCAAAACCTAAAACACAGCGCGACTTACGCCCATGTCTAGGTGGAATACCCGACCTCGGGTATTTTTTTACCCGACCGGGTCGGGTACCCGTTACCCGACACGTCGGGTAGCATTTCGGGTAGCGGGTATTGATACCCGGCCCGGGTAACCCGGACCCGACCCGCCGGGTAATTTTCAGGATTTCCGATACCCGACCCGCCCTAAAAGCGGGTCCGGGTAGCGGGTACCCGACCCGGTCGGGTAGTTTGCTCAACCCTAGGTGAACATCGGCGTGGCGAGATTTCGACGACGCCCACGACGGCTTCGTAATTTTCACTAAGGAAAATTGCATGCAAGAACAGAAGCAGCTTTACGGCAGAGCGTGCGCGCTACTGTTCGGAAGCAGCTGGAAGATCTTGCAGCAGTTAGGAGCAGAAAAATCAAGGGTTACTGTTGCAGTGGGAGAAGCGTGTTGCCGTTACGGAAATTTTGGAGTCACGCGGGATCTCTTAGAGTTATCCCTGATGTGCGGGGCTAGAATCGAAGATCCGGCTGCGAGGACTCATTCGTGGATTTACGTAGACGGGCGCGATGATGGGTGAATATATCGGCGCGTCGATAAACGTCGGGTCTTTTTCATGGTGGGAAATCTTCAAGTTTTGGCTGGAGCGGTAGCGAGGGTCCACGGATACCTACTGAGCTGTGCAATGGTTTAAATTCCAGCACGGTGTGTCGGTGAAACTGTAGAAAACACGTTTTTCGTAGCTGAGAACTATACCTGAGTTTTTCTTGGGGTACGTGCCGTAGCCGCACGATGGGTGAACGTCTGCATGGCGAACCGGTCAAGAGAGTTTGCAAAATATTAAGCAGCGCGTAACATCACGAAGTTGATCAACGACAGTTTGAGGAGCTGAATCGTGATCTACGGCGTCGAATGGAGCCAGGGTCTATTTAGCGCAATTTCCCTGCGTATGGGGTGGCACTGCTACTGGTCCCGACGTGTGGAGATTGCAGCACCCCAAACAATGACAGGGTTTCATGCATTGAAACATTTTTCGGATTTACTTAAGATCAAAGTGGAGTTCGACTTTAAAGCTGGGATTTGGGATTTTGCCGCCACAAACTGGGTGGAGCAGTTCTGGATTTCTACAGCTGGGCATGTACTCACAATTTAGAGGTACTTACAGCATCAACGACGGAAAAAATCCTTCAGAGGAGGGGGGAGAGAGCAGCACATTTCTTTTTCAGTCTCCCTCAACGACCTCGGCAACATTGACGGTCCAATTCAGTTTGACCAACAGCATCGACGGACAAGACTCGTTCGCGAAAGAGATGGCTTGCGATCACTTTCGGAAATTTCGCTGGCGTTTAAAAAATACGACATTTGACAGGGGCTTATTCACAGCATCAGTTGAGCTGACACGACGTTACGGTTCTGAGACCCAAGTGTCGTTCGTCAAGGCGCTGATAGAGTTCGCTGACTTTCGCGAGACACAGACACTTGTCTCTGCATGTGTCGTGAACGACATCGTGACTTGGTGAACGGGTCCTCGTAAGCCTGACGCACGTGGGATTTTTACAGTTTCGGCACTACGGACAACATAAGATATTGTAACTGATTTCGGCTCGCCAAACGTGGAGCAGTAGTTACTGTAGCAGTTTGCACATTCGACGATTGGGATGAATTATGATCGTTTCGACAAAGTTCGTGCATCCGTTTTATTGTCACAACGGGATAATGAAATCATGGTGACTTCGACGAGTTGCAGTTAGAGGGAATTTTCTAAGCTAAAGATATTTCCCCTACAGCCCGTTTGGTTGTTAGGGTGATTCGACCAAGTTTGACGGCTACGATCCACTGCGATCGTTTCGACATGTTTCGACCGTTGGATGCAGTTCCTTGAAGAAGCTCGAGATTCTCAATTGTGGTGGGTTCACTATGAGGAGATTCGGTTGGGGTTTTGTTGCTTTGTTTATTCGGGGGGAGAGTGTAAGGAAATAGTAATTCCTTACTGAGGCGCACTGCTAGCGGGTAGACCGAACGTACACGGCACCGGGCTAGGCCCTAGTTCCGTCACCTGTGCATCACGCGGTTAGGATTCGCTCTGGTGTTCCTATATCTTGCATCGTCATTCATTGTACCGACAATTTGTGAATCTGTCATTTTGAACTTCGATATTCACTTACGCGCTACTCTGGGTTTCCACCCATAAGAGTAACCACTCACACACAACCATCCACATTATACTATCCATGTGTAACCTCTCACACACTATCATCCACATGTTACCATCCACCCCATGCTGTAGCCGGAGCCCCATAATTTCCACGCCATTACCACCGTTTCGATGCTATCTGTTTTCCTTTCGCCCCTATCATCTCTTATTTCTAACACATGTCCCGTTTACCTCCCTTCTGTTCAATGCCAACCCTTTCCCTCCCATCCCTCATGCCTTCTCTCAAATGCGTATGTCACCTCTTTGCTCTCAATTGGTCTCCCGCACCGCCACTCCTTGCCTGCTTGCCCTCATCCCCACACAGCTTGGTCGACGGCAAGTGGGTCACCTCCCACTCTCTCTCTTTGCGCAATGAGTGCTATCGACAGTGCAAGTGCCAGTTGGCCGGGGAGTGATGGACAAGGACGTTCAAAACGATCATCATACGTACGCATTAGAACTCATCTCATACTAGTCGGATTGGTAATTACCTACCGGACTGATTGAACATCCACGCGAGGCAAGGTAAACCTTTTTGATCAATTATATATTGTATTATATAATTTGTAGGCTTGGTAGGTTATCGAACTCTACTGTAGAGGGTAAAATCTCCTCCTTGTATCCCTCTTTCTAGTTCACTCTCTCTTTTCTCTCGTCAAACTTTACTCTCCTAGCTCCTAGCTCCTAAACCCTCACGCCATTTCATGGCCGCCCTTCCTTCCTAGCTAGTCTTTTGACACTTTTCTCAATGTACAATGCATTCGTTATGTAGCACGTTTTTCAATCATCGTTTATAAGAAAATAATTGATCGAATAATGATGGAGCAAGGATGAAATACGGGTTGCGAAATGAAATCTTTTTTTTTTTTGGGTTGCGGAGCTACCTAAGGTGATCGATCGGACGAGATTAAAAAAAAAAACAAAAACAAAACAAGAACAAAAACAAAATAAACCTGAACTTGTGAAGTATTTGCTTCTATTCAACTAGACTTTACAGACAATTCATGCATGCAGTGTCAAACATGTGTATTTGTCATGTTTGTATAGACTGTATAGGGTAGCCTCTTAGAGGGTACAACACTTAGGTATACCTGTGTGTACCCCCTCTCTAACATCATTCACTCT